CTTTAGCTTTCTAAAAGGAATTATATGACACATGAGCTGCCATTACTGTATTTAAATAACCAAGATCCAAGAAAACAAAGTTGTTCATGGTACTAGTGGCTATAGACTTGTTTTGACACTGATAACTTTCTACTAGGTTGAAAATGACCCTACCCGGAAGAGCAAGAATTAACAGGATAGAAAAGAACTGTGGAAAAGGACCCATTGTGAGGCAAGAAAACTAGTGCGGACTAGTGAACAGGGAAATAGTTCCATTACGCTTCTTCTACAGGGTTTAGGGTTACTTTTGTTCCTTGCTTTTTTCATTTGACATTATTTCAAGGATATTTTCTTATGTCATTAGCATGCCTCTGTGGGTGTGTCATAATTTTTTTCCTATTTAGCATTTAGGCTATTTCAAAGTTTACATCTGCAAATAATATTGCTGTGAACATCTTTGTGACTAAAACTTCAAACACAGTTTATATTGTTACCTTAGGACACAGACTTAAAAATGGAACTGATGGAAGAATAAGAGTTTTTTTAAGGATCTCGAGACCATCACTAGTACTGGGAATTATCTCATAAAATTTTTTAAAAATTTGTTTGCATAAGTATTAATATACATATGGTTCAAAATTCAAAATGTACCTATTGCTCTTTTAAGATCAATAGTTGCTGTTGACCTCAGAGGGACAACAGCAACTCAGAAGATTAGAAAGGAACCTTGGGGGTAATGAGTTTGTTAATGGGGGAGAAACAACTCAGAAAAGGAGGGTTTTTTTTTTTGGTGTATGTTTTGCTGTGTATATTCTCAACAATTTTTTTTTTAAATGATCTTTCCCTTTGACTATTAAACACATAAACTGGTTCTTGCTTCTTTTCTTCCTCATCCCATGGAATTGGCAGGAATACAGAAATAATCAGATACCCTGCCAGATAAGAAGTTAGGGTTGGTGATATTGGAGGTGGGGAGGTAACTGTTACGCAATCTTATTCAGATCCTAACAGCCTCAGGAGCACTCTGGTAACCAAAATAATGTATTTATCATTGTATACTGGAGTCCCATTAGTTTAGAATGCCATGTCTGAGTAGCTCATCACTCTCAGTACTGCACAATGTTCACTAGGGGACTACTACCACACAGCAGGGAAAGAATTTATAATAAAGCCTTGGGGTTGAAAATGAGTCATAGTAAGAACACCAGCAAACTTCCATCATCTCGAAATAGTTACTGGTTTGCTCCAATTTCAGGTCAACTGTTATTTAATTGGGCTAGCATCATAAGGTTTATAAACTGACTTTTTAAATACAATGCAAATCTAGCTAAGTCCCTTTTTTCAATTTATGCTGGAAAGGTTCAGATGTTAGAAAACAAAGGCAGAGAGATAATCAATTACTGTTGGTGTGAACTGTTGGGAGCACTTCATTATTGGCACATTCCTGAATCGGGAATTGTGTTTTGAAATCCAGTCAGCTATAGTCCAGACAATCATCACTTAAAAAATATCATTTTCTCATGTTTTAGAACTAGGTAGAGGCGATGGGTGCCCAACATTGTACTAAATCCCACTAACTTGTACACTTTAAAATTTTATGTTATGTGGATTTTACTTCAATAAAAAAACATATATTATTTTCTCCACTCTTCATTAATTTAGAGTTTGGCTTAATAAATAAATAAGGTTTCCCCAAGTACTAGGGATGAAATCCCATCCAAGGTCTGTAGCTGTACATTTAGCAACATCTTTTGTCTCAATATAATTCAAAAGATATGAGATTTTAAAAATTAGAAAAGCACTTAATATTAATTTCAGTTATTGTGATGGACGTAACAATAAAAAGCAAAATGTATCTCTATTCTTTCCATCCCAAGGGAGAGAACAAATCAAACCACGTGACTTAGAATAATGGCTGGCAGAAGTCACCTCTGAAGAGTCTACAGACGTGTTACTACTCCATTAGTGATAATGGCTATTGATCTAGCCTTCTGGAAGAGCAAGTAGAAAAAACAGAATATTTAAGATAGAATTTTGACCACCCATTACCCCCCCACCTAGTTAAACTGCTAATTCCAGTAACTTCAACAAAATTAGTAGCACCTTTTCTCCCCCGAGGCAAGTACCAATAGCCTACTTAGCATATTAACTTCTCAAGAGGCTATTAAAAGCCAAAGAACACCACAATATTGTCTAACAAGTAGGGAACATCTAGGTATTCACTCTCTCTCTAAATGTAAGACTATACATTTGTCTTAAAAACTAACTTCCCTCTTTCCTCCTTTTCAAAATACTGCCCATTATATCTATTCTGGTCACCCATATACAACTATCACACTCTGCATAGATTCCAACAGTGTTATTATTGGGATAATTTCCTAAGTGCAAATAAATTTGAATCCCTCTATCCTCAGGATAATTTCTGCCTTAAAAAGAGATCACTTGAGTGATAGCACTGTGTATTTTCTCTGTACCTTCCTGGATTATCCAAATTCTCCATAATGAAATCATTTTTATAAACAGGAAAAAACAAATTTTCTAAGTAGTTAACATTTTTGAGCACCTACATTTTCTTATTTAACCCTCACCACAACTTTTTCAAGTAGGTATTGCCCCACTTTGCAGATAAGGAAAAGGAGGGTCAGAGGTAAGCCTACCTCCTCAAAGTCACAGTAAACGGGTTTGAAAATAGGTCTGCTTTATTTTACAAACTGCCTTTCCTCCATATTGTCAAGTAGCAGAAGCATAAATACAACATGACAACTTTCCCAAAGACCAACCTAAAATGAACTTAATAACTGGTTTGTAATGGGTTCTTATCCAATGACCCAGTAGGAAGCCTGTTTTTTAGGTTTTTATCAAAATCTGCCAAGTTATTTATTTGCACGAAATCCCAGTACAAGGCTCCCCCTACACCGCGATCATAAAATATATTCCTGTTTAAAATTTATATTTTTTATTCCATCATTACCCAGTTTTTTAAATCAAGTGTGATGAATGTTTAAAAATACAAATGGATTTTATCAACTTTTGTGAGAAAACAAATAGGCAAGTGAATAAAGTATATCTAGAGGTCACTGATTTGCATGTCTAAAGGTAAATGAAATACTTATTTTCTGGACCAACAGGACCATTCCATTGCAAGTCAATTTTTATCTGGTGGAAGATGAAGTGCTCGATCCTACCTAGTTTATAAACTAATTTCTGCATTACCTTGGACAAATGCCATTTGCACACTCCCTACCAGCCCTTAGGTGCATTGCAGCCTCTGTGTCATTGTGTGTGACATCACTGGGTTGCTATGGATACAGGTGCGAGGTCACTCGCTTTCCTGTGAAACTAGAAATATGGAAAAATTTAGAAGAACCCTAAACAACATGAACTAAAGATACTTTCAAAATTGGTGATCTATTAAAAAATGCAACTTATATCATCTGAGCTTCAAAACACTAAAAATAGTAATTGTGGCAATATATTAACTAATCGAGTACTCCCAATTCCCAGAATCAACTCCCTTAATGAGATACTGTTTTTTGTTAATATAAGTGGTTTAAATATAAAGACATCAACACTATCATCTTTTGTGAACTAGTCTAGCTACTCAAGAATTAATCTACAATACCTACACTGCTTTATTAAAAAGATTTAACACGCAAGGTGCATCCATTTCAAGCTGGGGATGCATTTTACGTATCTTTGTTACATAACATAGGAAGTTAAATATTAAGGTAGTGTACGACCTAAATGATTAATTAGATGATTTTTTCCACATTTCATTTAATAATGTTCAATGCTTTCTCCCCTCTAATCTCAAGCTGGTTGGCAGCCCATTAGATAAATGTAATGTTACTGACACAATGGTGCAATACAGGCAGGAATCTGCATCTCAGACAAAATGCGACAACTGGAGATCAGTATTCTCTTTTCATCAGCATGAGGATGCACTAGCTTTTTAAAAAAAAAAAAAAACCCTCAGATGTAGCTAACAGAACAGTTTTGTTTTTTTTTTAAAGACTTTTTCCCCTTTAAACAACTCCTCCCAGCCCCCACCCAGTCTAGGCTCTCTGCAATATGACAAATGCAGAATCTTCTGGAATGACTTGATACTGCCTCCCACCACCGCTTTGTTTGCAATATCAGATCAGAGAGAATTTTTTTTTTTCAACTTACAGGAATTTCAATAATACGCGTGCCTATATTTAAAAAAGAAACAGCATATGTCACAAATTAACCAGTCTGCTATATTCACAACGTTTATTTTAAAAACAATACCTGCCCTTTTCATTAAAAACATTAGGGGAAATAGAAATGACATGTTGAGAACAATTAATAAAAAAGCTAATGAGACAAACGTCTCCCCCCACCTTCCTAAAAGGAGGACTTGCTTTGGGGAATGAAGAAAGAGGAGCCTTTTGTTAAGAAAAACAAGAGCAAGAAGGTTTCGATTTTTGCATCATTGATCCCAGGTTTTCAGGAGAGCCTAAAATTTCTCCTGGGGAGGTTCTAAAGATCTGTCAGGAGAGGCACAGGACTAGGAGACTGGGGGCAATGGGGGGCTAGAAAAAGAGTAGACCTGCTGAGTGAATGGGAAAGGCGCCGCCCAAACACCAGAGAGAGAAAGAGGAACCGCATCCATGCGGTCCCCCGCCCCCACGCCGTAGGCTGGGAGGAGGGGAAGTGGGGCACAAAGGATGCGCACGGCCCCGCTCAGGTCCCCAGCGGACCCAGAGCACGCGGGGGCCAGAAACCCCACTCCCGTGAACAGCCCTGAAAGACCCCGCCCCGGTCTGAGCCCGGGGAAGCCGGAGGAGGCAGCGCCGCCAGCCCTCGGGGACGGGGATGAGAGGCAGCGTCACAACCCGGGTCCTTTTCGCCATCAGGACCCTCCACAGCCTCCTCACTAAGTGAGGAGGAGCGACTAACCTTGCAGTCGCGACAGGCGACTAGTCCCTGGGTCTAACGCGAATGAACGCGTCTCAGAAAGGACAGGGAGTGGCGGGGCGAGGGGAGGAGAAACTCACGTTCTTCATGGCCGCGGCCATGTCGTCGTAGCGCTCCGCCTGCTCGGCCAGCCGGGCTTTCTGCACCAGTTGCTCGCGGTCCACCATCTTCGCGGGCTGGGTCAGGCCGGATGAGGAGACCGGTGCGGCCTGAAAGGCTTGGAGGTCGGCTGCGGCGCGGTGGGAGCCCGTGTGCCGGAGGGACCGACCCACGAAAAGAGCAGCTGAGACGGCGGAGGCTGCGACTTGAGCTGCGACCGCGGGACCGGCGCGAGGCGGCTGCGGTTGCTGCGCGTGCCGCGGGAGGACAACCCCCAGCGGCCCCGCCCACGCCGCGTGACGCGCCCAGTCCCGCCCGCCGCGCGCACCCCGCCCAGGCCCTTCCTTGGCTCTGTCAGCTTCTCTGGCTTCTGCTCCCCAACTCAGCTAGGCACCGTCTTCCCACCGTCACCCCTGTTCCCCGCTGCCCCACAACACTCCCCTTTCTCTTCTCCACCCCTGTTCTTTCGCCCTAGCGTCTCCAGACTCCCCTCCCCCTCCCCCTTCAGACTCTCGCCCCGCCGGGCCTCCGGCGCGTCGGCCCCTGGGAGTTGTAGTTCATCTTCGCGTTAAGGGGGACCCATTGGGGAGACCAAGGACAAAGGGGCGGTCAAGACTACATCTCCCAGAGGCCATAGCACGCGGGCGGTAGAGGATTGGGGAGGTTTCTAATCTGGCAGCCACTGGGGACCCCTGGCGGGGAAGAGGGATGCATCTGTCCTAGCGAGTGCTGATTCACGGCCCCGCCCCGTATTCTCCGGAAAATTATGAGGGTAGGGGGCAAGGGTCTCTGTTCCGGAGATAAATTAGCAGGCCTTGGGGGGAAAAGAGGGGGGCAGTGGAGAAAGGGATAGGGCGCGTCCACTGTAGATGCAAATTGTCAGGGTGGTGTCCGTCCGCAGGACAGTTGAATTAAGGGGCCAAACCCTGGACTGTCAGCCACTCCGCCAAGGTTCCAGCTCCCCATTCCTACCTTGAAGTTCTTGGTTACGACTAGGTGAAAATATGCTGAAAACATGGAAGGACAAATATCAGCCCAGCATACTGGTTAGTGTATGAAATGATGCAACTGTGTGGAGGCTGACCCTTGGAAAGCCCCTACTTCCTCTCCAGGGCAGAGTGTTTAAGATTCAATTCACAGTTACTGTATGCCTAAAACTGGGCTATGATCTGGGTTTGTCCAGCCCTTCTCTCTTCCTAGGACATGCACACTGAGATCAGGCTGACAGATTCTTGCCCATATGCTTCTCTTTATTGAGATTCCATGTAGCTCTCACAAACACCCTATAGTTTTGACTGCACATTTTATTTACCTAATTTATTCAACAAATATCTATTCAGCATCTACTATGTGTCAAGCACTGTTCTAAGCAATGGTGTTCAACAGGGAACAAAACAGACAAAAAAATCTCTGCCCACATGTAACTTAACATTGTAGGCATAGAAACAGAAAATACACAAATAATAAATATGAAGAGTATGTTAGAAAATAAGCAGGTTATGTGTTATGAGAACCTAGAAAGAGTTTGTGTGAGGCAATATTCCAGGCCCTAGGATGCTGGAGGAGGAGGGCATGTTCTCATCAGTGAATTACTTAATATGGCCCTTCTAGCCATAGACTTTGTGACTCCCACACAATGATTGGGTGGGACTATGCAAATAAGGTGCTCATGGACCACTAAAAGGATTGGACAGCTTGCTGCCGATGCAAATAAGGTGCATGAAACCCTTTTGGGAGTGGGACCATGCAAATATGGTATATGGAGCCCTAATGAGGGGATTGGTCAGTTTTGCCATTCCACTAGGCTTAAAGGGAGACATGGGAGAGAGATAGGGAGGAGCTCTAACACGGAAGAAAGTGAAATACAGCAGTGCAGCGGTAACAAGAATGCTAGCGGCACAAGACAGCAGGAACCAGGTGATGAGATGGTGCAGTGGGCTTCCTGGTCCATGGAGTAAGGCAGTTACAGTGGGCATGCTGACCCACAGAGCAAGAGAACTGAGTGCCTTCGGGCAAGGGGCTTCCCAGGGGAGTGGGGTGCCCCTGGGCACTTACTGGTGGAGCAAAACAGCTTTGTAACACTTGCCCAAACAGAACAGAGGCCAGGCAGAGGGGCTGAGGGCCAGAGAGAAGCCTGCTTGTGGGCATGGCTGAGAAGAGACTGCTCTGATTGAACAACTGTATCGTGAGTTGTTCTTGATCCTAAATTGTAACCTGTTACTTCCCTACACCAGGAGGCAGTGGTTTGAACAGAGCAAGGGAATACTATGTGGTTTAAAATCAGGAAAAGTGTGCCTCAGGGTTGTATCCTTTCATGATACTTATTCAATATGTATGCTGAGCAAATAATCCAAGAAGCCAGTCTATACAAAGAAGAACACAGCATCAGGATTGGAGGAAAACTAACAACCTGTGATATGCAGATGATGCAACCTTGCTTGCTGAAAACAAAGAGGACCTGAAGCACTTACTGATGAAAATCGGAGACTACAGCTTTCAGTATGGATTACACCTCAACATAAAACAAAAATCCTCACAACTGGACCAATAAGCAACATCATGATAAATGAAGAAAAGATTGAAGTTGTCAAGGATTTCATTTTA